GAATCCGAGAAAGGCACACTGAGGTTGAGACTGAAAAAAGGTCGCATTCAGCATGTCTGTGACGTGCGTGCGTGCTTGCGTGCGTGCGTGCGTGCGTGCGTGGGTGGGTGGGTGGGTGGGTGGGTGGGTGGGTGGGTGCGTGCGTGGGTGGGTGGGTGGGTGTGTGTGTGTGTGTGTGCGTGCGCGCTTGTTTATGTGTGTTGTGCGTGTGTGCGTGTGTAATTGTTTTGCTTCCGCTTCATTGAAAGGAAGGAGTGAAGAGTCTGCGTCAGACCTGCACGCTGCAACCTTATTATGCCAAACGCTGCTTTTCTGAGTTTGTTTCGCACGCCAGCATGATGTAGACATCCTCAATCATTACTCTCTAAAGGGTTGCATAGAGGGAAACCACGGCCATCATTGTTGCGAAGTTTTTGCGGACGCGGATATTATGTCGCGTTGCGCTTCCCGTGGCTTGACGTCTTTGGCGGAGTAGGGAGGAGCAAGTAGGGTGCTTGTGCAACTCGAGCCAGCGGCGCGAAATCAAAACCGGAGCCTCTGATTTGACAGTCGGATCGTGTGCGAGGAACCAGTTTTCCCTTTGGGTAAATATTCCTGGAGTCTTTTCTGGCCCTTTGAACATGGGGTCATGACGCGGAAGAATATGTTTGGTGGTACGCCCGAAGGAGACTACCGGTTGTTTTTTTGTTGTTTAATAATTGTATGGGCCGTTTTTTTGAGGGGAGCCCCAAAATGTCAGTCGACTTGTTTGCCTATTTATCCACTGACATACATCCATGGCGCATGCATTGATACCCTAGATACGCAAATGCATGGATACAACACCTCAAGGTTGTAGGTGCCTTTCAAAAGGTGAGCGTCGCCAACTCTTTGGGTGCGATGCCTTTTAAATGGTAGGCTTTTCTTTTTGAATTGAGAGGAGTTGTGCGAACCTAACGCTGAAAAAGGGAACGCCACATGGTGTGTTTTCTGCTTCACCTTCGCCCCAATGGAAGCAGCAGTTTGGCCCTTTGCAGAGGCAAGGGGCTGGGAGAGTTGGAAAGGGATGCCTTCCTCGCCCACGTATCCACTGGCCTGCTCAAAGACCCGAACTTGCGATGGTATTGATATGCTGGGGCAAGATTGGTTTACACTTGAAACAAAATGAATTTGCCACCCCTCAAGCACTGCTTTTTGGACAGGACGTGGGATTTTGGACATGGTTCAAGAAGCAACTGGACCTGTAAAGGAGAACCAGAGGAGGTTGTTCAAACCCGGGGTTGCAACCCGCTTGGTTAGTTAGAGCTTCTTGTTGGGGAAAGCACTGCGCCTCGAGGCATGACCAATTCAGGTCAGAATCAGGCGAGCAAATCAATATATAGACCAAGACCCCAGAGAAACCATCCATCCCCAGATGTCCCTGGAGAGTTTCTCGGCATCGTATCACGGTGTTTGCGGCTTCGTTGAATCAATGCTCACTTGCCCAAAGCCGACCTATTGACCTTTTGGCTTTCCCATGTTGGTCCTTTTTTGGTACAGATGGCAAAAAGGATCACCTTTTATTTCTGTTCCTTTCGGCCACTGGGAACGCTTTTGTACATGCTGGAACCTTTTCGGGGCTTGAACCAACGTTGGTTCTTTTCTTTTTCACATCCAGAGATGCACCTGATTTCATGAAGTTTGCCATCATTTCCACCCCGAGCTCAAGTTCTCGCATTTGCTCTGGCCGAAAGAATCTTCCGGTTTTTTGTTGGAGGTCCTCGGGTTTTCTGAAAGACCTTCAAAGCTTTGAAGAGTCAAATAGTAGTCTGAGAGAAATAATATACCCAGAGGTCGCACAAGGTACCTGATATGTTTCGCGTTATTTATTCTTCTGTAAATGGCGAACTTCCGTTTTCACCAAACCTAGGACTGTAAAAAAGGGGCTCCAAGGGATTTTTTGGGGCTGCAACTGCTGCTCTTTTCATGGCAATCAACGGTTTCCAACTAGCAACAGCGAAATATTTGTTCAGTGATTCAGCATCAATAATTTTCCATTAACACACTTCATGGGGTTCAAATGAGATCACGCCAAGGCCACGCGCAGACCTACTGTGTCGCTGTCTCAGACGTTTCAATCGCCCGAGCCAGCAGCGCTGCAAATTCTGATGTTTCTTTGTTTGGGTGCTTCTGAAACTTACCGGGAGTCTCCATGACATTTGAAAAATGGGTCAATGATCCCATTATTTTGTGTAATGACCAACCATTTTTCAAGGGTCATGGAGACTCCAGGCACTTCCTGAGTTCCTGGACTTTGTACTTTTTGAGAAGATCATTTTAGTGGCACTGAAGTAGTTTGGATTTGTTTGGCCTATGCACTCAAGAAGTGACATTCGGGGCCAGTGCACTGGCGGGTTTCCAAACCAACGGGGACCCCGGAACAAACCTGGAGGCTGCACCCGCAAACTTGGCAGATTCAGCAGGGTTCCTTAAAAGATACGTTTTGCCCATTTGAAGCATGGCTTTTTCCACCAACATAAGGGGAAACCACCATTGACAAGGCAATGTTCAGGTGTATAATGCAAGGATCCCTGTTTAGTGACTGAAAATGTGACACCCGTTTGGTTGACATGGATATGATGGCTCTTTGGGTTTCATGTTAATCGGCCGACTCGGAAATCACAGTCACTTGTACGGAAAGACGGACGGGGCTTAGGGAAACAAAACGCGTGCTGGGAAAAACCCTGTGTTTGTTTTGTTTGTCTGGTCGGTGGGTGAACCTGTGTCAATCAAAGAAAGGTGCCAGATCTTTCCCAGCTACTTGGACCCTCTGGGTTTTGCATGTTCGGTAGAGCAGCTATAGTCCATTTCGAGTTGAAGACATGGAAGAATGAGCTCTAAATTAAGGCACAGAAACCAGAGGACGCGCTAAATGTCCCACGCACTCTTTGGGAACAGGTATATAATTTTGTCTGTGGCTCATGTCAAAGACACAGTGGCCACTTTTAGTGTTTTTTACAGTTCGCTGAAGCCTGATATCATCTCACGGCGGGTTTCAGTTTGTGTCCAGACTTCGGGACAGGATGAATCTCCTTAGGGGCGATCGCCAATTCTCCGCATCCAAACTAGATTGGTGTTGCTCAAAAGAGGGGGAGGGGCCTGAAATGTATTTTTTTTGTTTGGCTCCCCGGAAAAACTGGCACGAACAACTGGCACGAAAAGCGAGCGGCCTTTCCTGTGAACTGGGTACTTGATTTCGAGAGTTGCCTCTTGACCTTCTGCCCCGCCTCAAAAACAACGGCCACCCTCAAACTACAACGCAAAATGGGATGCCCAAACTTCCCAAGGACCCGCTTTTTCTGCCCAGCGGGCCTACAAAAAAAGGGTCCTTTGAAAGTCCTTTGGGCAAGAAGAAAGGAGGTACTCAAAATGTTCCACCTCACCACGGGTTCCTTTCTGCCAACGGTCACCGAACTCGGAAAACGCTCAGGGGTGGTCGGATTGGGAGAGCTGGGGCGATTGCCTGGAGCTGAGCGGGCGGGGGAGCCGCGAGTCAGGTTCAACACCCAACCGGAGGTCAGCTTACCCTGGAAAGCCGAGGGGTTTTCCCAAAAGCAAAACCTTTATACCCAGACGCTTGGGCTCCGATTGGAGGCAGCTGTGGACAGTTCTAGGGGTACCTTCCATTTCCCCAAAAGAAGGTGTCCTGTTAGTGGCTTTGGTTTACATTCTAGGGGGGCTTCCATGTCCATTCTTTCCACCCAGGCGCTCCCAATTTATTTTGGGCCCTCAAACAGCCAGATTTTGAGACAAAACCCCCAGAGGGGTGTCCAACGGAGGGTCTGGGTCTTCTATTGGAAGCCCCAGGAGCGGCCGGGTATTTGGAGGGGGTAAGCTTCCAGAAAAACAAGAAGGGGTATGCTGAGGTTTCTTTTTCGTGTCAAAACGACTTCCTTTGGCCAGAGGGGCCGAAACAGTACTCTATATTTACGGGTTTTGCTGAAACAGGGGATTCGTCAATGTCAGATTGTGAAGAATTCTGCAACTATCTTCAGGGCAAATCATTTGGTTGGATTCTTGAACTTTAACATGTTGGTGCAAACAGTGGATTTTCCGTATTGAACCCACAAAGCACTTGTTTGTTTCAGGGGGTTGTTGCTGCAACCAAGTTCTAAGGCACCAAAAAAAAACCTCTGGGTTTAACGGCCTAATTCATTTGCGGGCCAGGTGAAATCGGAAGGGAAGACTGCGGTGTCTCATTGATTTCTCTTTGGAGCAGTCCCTCAACAACAGTGGGATCTTCGAGACGCGTTTTTTTTTGTCATGCTCCGAGGGAAGCCTTTGGGGTGGGTTTCCAGGGAAACCAAAGGGACGCCCTTGGGGTTCCATATCCCACTTTGAGGCATCAGATCTACCCTTCCGAGCGATCGAATGGGTCTTCGAAGAACCCCTACCGTTTTTCTTGGCCGGACACGTTGGACTTCGCATGTGGCATCTAGAGTCAGGCTTGACCGGATCCTAAATAGCACCTCAGTTTTGATTTCTCCAAGGGCAACCAACAGGTGACGGGTTTGGTTTTGTCCAGACCCACTATAGCTCATAGTGAGGTCAACGCAGGGACACCAGCTTACTTCTGACGGAGGGGTTAGACTTTGGCATGGATTCCAGTAGTACTTTTTGTTCAAAGTGCTTGGGCATCAATCTAGTTTGCTCGGTTGACCGCAACCCAGGCAGCGTCACCTGTGGCATCGGGACCAAAGGCGGGGCTAAATTTTAGCCGTTGGAAGCGAGGCCGAAAGTCCTATGGTAATTCTCTGAGCACAGCTTTCCATTTGCTTGTAGTAAGCTACACGTTGTGTTTTCCTTGAGTCTATCACTACTTTGTTTTGCCCGGGGGACTTAAGCAATTGGAGGCAACTCCACGCACTTCTGGAGTTGTTCCTGGACTTTATACTTGGGATCCTTTCTTGTGACGAAGAAAGTTGGGCCCAGCAAGGACCTCCGGAGATCTGGACGCAAATATGTTCTAGTAACATCGCCTTATGGGGCTCCTAACTGCCTGGCTGCTGTTCAAACCCAAACTTAGGACTTGTTTTTTGTTTCAACCCCATCACTGTAGTAAAGGGCGAAGATGAAACCCGGTGCTAAGCGTTGACCTAGATTGTCTAACTTCCTGAGTGGAATGGCGAACAACAAGTCAGAATGGTTTTGGGATTCCGGACCCCAAACATGCATGCTGATAAAGACACCTCCTTAGAAAGGCTGCACTAATAACATTTCGGTACGTCCTTTTGGAGAACCCTACATGTTTTATTCTGTTGGTTCCCCTTGAAAACACACCCAATAGGGCTAATTACCCTCAAAAAGGACACATTATTTTTGCTGTTTCAAGGCAGGAACTATGGCCGCTTTCCAATGGTTTCCCAATGGCTGGAATATCTTGCACTTCCTAGTCGGGTCCAAGTCATGCGTATCCGCCAGGCTGTTCCGAGATCCTCTGCTGAAGTCGAAAACTTTTGGGTGTGGAAACTACCACTAAACCAACTACAAAGACCTAAACAACAAAAGGAACCGGATGGCCAGCCACGTCAAATGACCCCTTGTAGCCCCCCTTTCACAAGGCCGCAAAGCTCCAAAGGGTCCCCAATGAAAACTAATCGCCAATCGGATGTACCTACACCCTGTAAATGAATGAGGGGTCCCCCAACAGTAGGAGTTCCCGTCACGTTTTGCCGAGGAGGTTCTACGGTGGATGGACGAAATCCTGCACCATCTAAGAAACCCTTGAATGATGATTTCCCTGTAAATACCAAAAACAATGTTTTCCCATGATTTCAAAAGGTGGTGCAGGATTTCGTCCTTCCACAGTAATGTTGGAGAGTGATTAATAAAGGGGCCCCTCCCGTCAATAGCGAAAACCCCAAAAACAAAATGGGGGTCAGACTGGGACCCAGTCTGACCTGCCTGAGTAGTTTTCCAGTCAGTATTGTTTAGAATTGGTTTAGTATTGGTTTAGTATTCCTGAGCTGGCTCACTATGGTTTAGAATTGGTTTAGTATGTGTTCAGCATTCTTTTCAGGTGACTCACTACAGTTTAGAATTGGTTTAGTATTGGTTCTTCTTCTTGGCAGGCTGCCCTGGCCATTTTTTTCACAATTCCCTACCCTTAAACAAACTGCATTATTGCCTTCCTGGGGGTTCCGTGTGCCACCCCCTTCAAAATTTGTCAGGGTGCATCTTCTAGTAAAGGGATTGATAAGGAATTTGGTGGTTTGGGACAGGAAGCAATCCAGAGATTCTGGACATTTCTGGCCGGACTCAAACGTTTCAACCCTCAAAAATAGTCCATTCTTGGAAGGGAACATATTTTCGGGATTTCGGGCAGATTTGTTTCTGTAATACCTACCCTTTTTGCTTTTCAGGAGAGTGAATAATTTTAAGATTGTTTTTCTGTATTCACTCCCCTTTCATTAGTCGCTATCTAACATTATGCCTGTCGGACCTGCTCTCGCCAGGCCGAGTGCGGCATTTGTCACCTTTGGCGCAGCCCCCGCAAGCGCTTCACTACGTGAAAGCGCCCGCAGCCTCGGACGCAACCGAGGTGGTCAGGTTGTTGAGAGTATACTCCTTGGTAGTTCCCAGCCATCCCTCTAGTTGTTTTTCTTCAAAATTTAGTGAGGGTTTCCATGTAAGCAACTATAGTTTTCTTCGGCAGAGGATCTGGGAACAGTCCGAATTCCTGGACCTCACACTACTCTTAACTTGAAACTACACGTACAGTTTTGGGGGGCTGTTAGCTTCGAATATATTACACTAAACAGGTTGGAGTTTGTCAGGTCGACAATCAAATAGGTCTAGCCAGCTAATGCTCTGGGAAGGGAAACACGTCGGTTCCAATAGATGGCTATGAGTTTCAATAGATCCTTAATGAATGTCGACTAACCATTTTTTAGGTAGTTCTTTATTGTATGATTGAACTGTTGGTTGCCCCATGTTGCCCCCACCCTGTTTTGGAACTCTGATTGACACCAAATGCATACAAGAGGGAGGCAGAACCATTCCAGTGCTACGTTCCGAGCCGTTCCAAGATGACTGACTCACTCCACGAGTTTGTGGACCGCCACCGTTGGGAGGACTGAGGACTACGTTAGTGAAACACAACAACCCAGTGCTTCCAGTTACCACTATAGACTCAACCAAGGGTCATGATGTAAAACCTAGAGATAGACATAACTGTATACTATAGTGGCAACTTGAAGCCCTGCGAAAGTTTAGTCTCTTTTGAGCCAATCCCGTCTGGACGGGAGATGATCAAACAACATTCGGATGGAACGCTGGCAATTGGTGTGCATCCGGTCAAATGCGCTTGCGCAAGCCCGTTTTAAAAGTGTAACGAGAGCACCAGCAAGTACAGGAGCTCCCATTCCGCAAGTAAGGGTTCATTCCCTCATTCCCTGCACCAGCAAGATACTGTGGATGGACGAGATCCTGCACCACCTGAGAAACCCTGGTTTATGATGATTCCCATGTAAATACCAGCAAACAATGGTTTCAACCATGGTTTCATTTCGTGGTGCGATTTCTGGATTTCGTCCATCCACAGTATCAATCAACCAACCAGTTGATTAATAGGGGGGGTGTCTGTGGATGAAATGTGGGGAATCTCTCTTTTAGAGGGGAACACCCCCCTGGTAATGAAGTGGGGTTGATTTGTCCGGGGTGAACATTATTCCCACAGTAGGAGAGAGCTCTCCTTCCGCAAGTAAGGGTTCATTCCCTCATTCCCTGCCCGCCGCACCAGCAAGATAGGGGTGCCCCTGCCGCAAGTTTTCTGGTGACCCTCCGACCCTTCCGATTCTCGTGGCCGTCTGAGGCTCTTCCAGTGCGGGGGCGAGCCTCGAGGCGCGTGTGATGCGCTGCGGAAGCCATGCGACGTGGATTCAATGCGTGTGATGGCCCGGTCAACCCCATTTATTGATAAGGGGTTGTTATTGATAGGGGGGGTGTGAATCTGGGCTTAGTGGGAGTTTGTTTGTTTGTTTATTTTGCGTGGGTGTCAACCTGGGTTTAGTGGGAATCAGACCAGTTTTGGAGGGACAAACCCACCCCCCTTTTAGTAAACTGGGGAATATGGGGTCAACATTCGTAGGTCGCCAGGGGTTTCATCATCCATGGTGCAAGAAATCCGAAGGGTTACCTATATACTGTGGTGGCAACTGGAAGCACTGGGCTTGTTTAGCCCGTTGTGTCAAGTTGTACAAGTAGCTTGTGGTTTGAGACTCATAACGAATGCAGGGCTTGCTTGTTCTGACTGCCCCGCTGGCCGTTTGCTTATTGAACCAATATAGGCGGCCATGAGTTCGTAAATAAACAAACCATTGCACCATTTGCTGTTTCAACATATACCCGCTTTTCTGGAGCGGAGATCAGCCTATGATTAGCGGGCTTCATTTGTTGGAACAACAACTCTGTGTTGAGCCACCAACACTGGGGGTCCTTCCTTCCCATGAAGAGAAACCCAGTGGATCCCGGTTACTCCCATGGCAGGTAACCAGCCATTTCCCGTTGGCTTTCAAAGGTTGGTTGTCTTGGTTGCCTACCCCAGCGCTTCCAGGCAAGCCAACTATAGTGGCGAAACGCCTGGAAGGCACTGGGTGCTCTCCCAGTTGCCGTGCCCTGTTTTCCTTCTTTTTGGGAAGGGTTGCCCTTTAAAGTCAACCAACCAAAGCAGGATGCCCTGTTTTTTTCCCATGGAAATCCACTTATCTGAGCTAAACAGGTAAATGCGAAAAAGCTGGGAAACGCATAGACTAGGTCCCCCAAGCTAGGTGCCCTTTCTCACCGTTCCTTTTTTGGTTGGGAGGGTTCCCCTACGAAAATATAGACTACTGCAAAAAGGGCACCCTTATTCTAACCTCTCCACTGGAGGTCATAGCACAAAGACACCAACAGGGCGACACCTCCACAACGCCGCTCTGCGCGATTTTCGAGCGATGCCAGGATGGGTGGATGACGAGCTGCGGTGGTGCTGCAAGAATATGTCCGGTCCTGGGCCTGCGACAACCAAAAAAACGACAGGGGCTCTATGAGCGTCTGGAAACATGTTTTTTTGGTGGGGAAGGTGCCGTGTGACAACAAAAAACGACAAGGGCTCTATGGGGGGGTCTATGGAAGGGGGGGATGTGTGCGTTTTGGTGTTGAAGGGCCATGCCCTAGGGCTCTATCATGGTTGTTGTTGGGAAACATTTAACATTTTTGCTTGTTGTGGTTTAGTGGGAATTCCCCACCTAACCGCTAAAATTCGATTTTTTGCTCCCCTTCCAAAGTCAACCAAGCTATGGGCGTCTATGGGGCGGCATTGTGTTTCTGGCATGGGAAGTTGCCATGCCCAAAAAGAACTGGAGTGTCATGCCCTAGCCCAAGAAAGACCCTAAATAGAGCCTTGACTCCCCCGAAAGCCTCCAATGTGGTCTTGGGCTCCTAGGGCACCAACGTGACGTCGTGCAAGGCACGAGATGAATATGCATCCAGGTTCTCTAGTGTTTCTCCTCGTAAATTGGATTTCACGTTTCGCGGGCGAAATGTGCGGAACTTGAAGGGTGTTGTTGTTGTTGTTTTTGTTTTGAGATCTCTTGCTTGGTTTAAGGGGCCAAAAGGAAACCGTTGCCATTGGCGGCTTGGGGAGGGTCCACCATTTTTGTTTTTGAGACGAAGCCCCAGGCGTTTGGTCGCCCGAGGCCTCGGGAGGGCTGCGAGCACGAAGTGCGCCTGCGATTCCAGGCGCGCGAGAAGGTTCCATGGCCTCGCTTCGTTCCGCGCAGTGACATCCCCCTAGGGCCGCGGTCAGTGCACGGTGACATATCCCTAGGAGCCCAAGATTTCATTTGAGGCGTCAAGGCCTTCATATGTAGGGTCCAAGGGCTTTTTAGGTACGGGAAATAAGATACTGTAGGCCAGGGCGATGCGCCAAACCTCAATGCGGCAAGCCAAACACATGGATGTTGTTCAAGCTACTTGGTAAGTAGACAAATGCTTCAGGGCGTTTCGCCACTTCATAGTAGACTTGCCGGGGGTTTCCCCATCCATGAGAAAACTTTCAGGTAACAATACCGAAGGGTTCCCCACGAAAGTGGCGCTTGCGCCTGGAAGCACTGGGAGAGGGTTCCTTTGCTCCTGTCGTCGTTTTTTTGGGGGGGAACCCGCCCTTTTGGCGGGGTTCAAGGAGCCAAGTTCCCCTGTTTCGAGTGTGTCAGGATCCGTGCATTATGTTGTCTCTTTGGGTGATTGACTCCCTAAATTGAATCTTCTTGGGAAGGCAATTTTAGTGAAACAAATGGCTGGGACTTGTTGCTATTCCCAGTGCTTCCAGTTACCACTATAGTAGGTGGCCAGGGGGAACCATGACGCAACACGTAGAGGTAGCCATACCTGGTGACCTGTTAAAGTGGTACCTGGAAGCACTGGGATTCGTCAACTCAAAGGGAGGCTTGTATTTTCCACCGATTGAATCACTTGGAGGGACAATGCTTGACTTGCTATTGGGTTGGATCTTTAGACTTTAACTTTTTGGGAAATCAATCAGGTTTTCCACTAAACCCCCCAAAAGTTCAACTTTTTGCAGGGGGGTCGACAGCAATCAACAAAGGTCAACCTTGTTAGGGTCTTGGCATGAAAGGCCGCAAGAATATGAGTTTCCTTGTGGAGTGCCGGGGACATATTCTAAGGTTCGCACTTCTCTGAAGGCCACCCTTGCCAGTTTGAAGCACGGGGTTCCCGGCCATATTTCTTGCTTGGGCAGGCCCCCATGTGGACCACATCCGAAAGCGGCTTGTGTCTCCGTTCGGGCCACTGGTTGAAGGGTAAGAGAGAGGCCAATCGCAGTGGAGCTCCCAGAAGGGACACGTTGCACCCTGAGTTCCTGGGCTTGAGCCGCCATAAAATGTGCGGACCATTCTAGTAGCAACCGGCTGGAACCTTTTTGTGCCAGTCTCGGAAAATGGGTTTGTCTCCAAATGGGTGGGTTCCTTTTGATTCCCCTTTACAACACTCCGAACATGGGTTTCCTTAAAACAGGCACACCCAAATGAGAGGTGGGGATGGAGTCATGTTGCTTCACTTTCAGCATCCAACACGATCCAACTTCATGCACTTTGCTTCCCGGTTTAACGCGAAAGGCCCATGTCGCGTTCTATGCTCACGGCTCGGTGAGTTTGTTTATTGCACTTCGCCGAACTTTACCTTAGGGATCAACCGACCACTTATCTTGGCGGTTCCCAGCCGTCCGGTTCCATTTGTCCTTTTTAGGTATACTTGGTTGGTTTAGCGGTTGGGTGCCACTACAAGTTAAACAACTTTTAGCAGGGGATCTGAGGACAGCCCAGCTACGAGAACTATGTTGGAACATTTCAGAGAGGGCTGGTGTTGGTGGGACCCGGGAGCTATTTGGACTGAAGCGCAATCAAGAAGTGTTGTTCTCAGGGTCACGAAAAGTGTGTGTTTCTCTACTTGGAGTCTCCATGACCTTTAAACACGGGTAATGACCCCAGCCCAGTTTTTTCAGTCTCCACACACAACGGCATGTTAAAACCTGATTGCGTCAATCAGGCAACCCGTAGTTGGTGGTTTGTGGATCTGGCAAAGACTGAGTGGAGGCCCTCGGGGCTTAGATTTTGCCAGACATCACTCTAGGGGTGATTCTTTTCCATTCCTGCACGCCCAAAGGACCCCTTTTTTCTGCCCAAAGGACCAACAAAAAAGGGGTACAAAGGCAGAAGTGAGGGATCGGTCCATTGAAATTGCAGGTTCTTTTCAACCATCGTTCTTTTTAACCAAAAACCGGATCGCGGGTGTGTTTTCAGGTTGTCTGGAACGGATCCCTGCGAATGGAAATGCAAGGTGCGCTATCACTTTTGGGGACTTCCTGGACCTTTCCGGACCGATTGGCGGAACAAATGAATTGGTCCATTGAGGTGTTCAGGTCAAAGTCAGTTGAGCTACAATCAAAACCGATTCGGGTAGATGAAGGTTAGTAAGGGACACTCCCAACCAAAGATAGCTGCGGATATCCGCCTTCTGAATTCTTTACATGGTTCTTGGCATCGACCATTTTGAGTCCGGGTTTTGATTGTGACTCAGTTTCCTGTAGGGGTGATGTTAGGGGAAAGAGAGCGAAGCCTCGGGGCAAGCGGCTTTTTCGCAGGAAGAGGTGGAGCAGAATGAAGTGAAAGCGAGGCGCATTCGAGAAGTCATTGTGAAGAGGGTTCCAATTCTGTCCAAAACCAAAGTTTCACACTGGGACTCATATGCCTTGTCTTCCCCAGTGGAAGCACCAGGCGTTTTGCCACTATAGTATGTAACCAGGGGTTTCCAACTATCATATACAACCTAGAGATAGCCGTTCCGAAGTGTTACCTACTGTAGTGGCTTGCCTGGAAGCACTGGGTTCGTGTGACTGGAACCAAATCAAAGTTTCGACTCCCGATTTGAAGCTTGGGGGCTTCGGGTTAAGTAACCTCTACCTAGCTGATTTTGAGAACCAACCTCTGCAGGTTTCCAGATGTATCCTACCGGAACCCTGGGGATTCCTTTCCGGTCATGAATTGTGCTGGCTGTTTCAGACTAGAGATCCCCCAACAAATTAAACTGGCATTCCTCCCGGCAGCCGGCACTCTGCATCTCTCTCTCTCTCTCTCTCTCTCTGTCTCTTTGTCTGTCTGTCTGTCTGTCTGTTTTTTTGTCTGTTTGTTTGTTTGTTTGTTTGCTTTTTCCCGCTTTATGGGGCCTATGGTGTGTGTGTGTGTGTGCCCCCCCGCCCCCTGAGAGGGGGAAAACAAACTTGCTTCTCCTCTTTCTTTCTGTCTTTCCGTTTTCTTTCTGTCTTTCTTTCTGTCTTTCTTTCTCTCTTTCTTTTTTTCCTGCTGTTGCTATTGTTGATGCTGCTCCTGTTGTTGTAGCATGCTCAAGCTGTTGCATCTAAAGCAGCCGATACTCATTGGCCTATGGCCCGAAATCAACATCCGATCCGAGTTGCCTGCGCTTTGAGCCGCTTCCGCTGATGTTGCAAGGACTGGGACAAGGTTGACACATGGCTGCGGGATAACAAAGAAGCAACATGGCTTGCCCTGGTAAATGGAGACATGGGCCAAGACCTGCGGTCCACTTTCTGGTGTTTTACAATTTGACCCACATGAGTGTGATGTACAGTAGGGCACCCTTCTGAAAAACAAGAAGGTTCCACGGGGTGTCCATTCAACGAATTCCTAAAGTTCACCAACTCTAAAAAAAAGAGCCACACAATCCTCACACGTCTTGTTGTGCGAGCCTATGCCGGGGGAGGAACCCTCGGCGAGAATATTTCAACAGCATGCAAAAGGCTTACTCAATGTGGAAGAATCGGGTTGCATAGTTGTTTGCGCGAGAGGCAGAAGCTGAGGTACCAGATCTTTGGATTGTTTGCATTGTTCCCACATGAACTACATACATAGGGCCTCTTATGGATTCCTTGTAAGCAAGGCTGGCTTCCAGTATTGCACACATCAGTTTCAGGGGGCCATGTCGGCCGGTGTCAACCGACTTGAGCTCGCCAATTCCACCTGTTCAACTCGCGAGAGCCTCTGGGTTCATAGGCTCTCCTCCTACGTCCCCCCAAAGAAAAAGAGGAAGCAGGCCATGGCCATTTCCATGCCCGCAAGTGACCGTTGGTTTCTCTGGCATCCGGTTGGATCCGTTCAGATGTCTCCTCGGACACGATATTGTACTTTAATATGGGTTGATTGAAGGTGGCTCGTTTTTTTGTCGAGGCTTGGTAGCCTTTGTGGGGGCTGGTTTGAAGGGAAACCAAAGGGACACCATCCAGTTTGGATTACGTGGGTCGAGCTTTGTGCTGCTGAAGCCTTGGACCCACCTTTCTGGCAAGAATCTCCCCCCCGCCTTTCCCAGTGGATCCATTTGCCGGGTTTTGTAGGGAACTAAGGGAACCACCCGATATCAAAGCCAACAAGACAAAAGCTGGTTGCCTAGCAGAAGATATATGGGTAACTGGGATTTCCAATTCTTGCGAGTTTTTATTTCCGGACAATTTGGGCCCAGAGGGGTCCACGGTCCAAGTGCCTTATATTTGCAGATTTGAGGAATCTGTAAATGACAAATCCGCTTGAACCAAACCCAAGAACGCAAACAATGCGGTACCAAGACAGCGTTTGGGATCTTATTGCGAGTTGTTGGATTTCCGGACCATTTGCATGGTGAACACTGCGGTCCGATGTTTTTTTACCAATCGCCTCCTTGCGTTCGGTCGAAGGGTCTCTAGACTCTCGTTCAAGCTGGCTTACCTTTCTGAAGGTCCGCCAGACCCCCCGAGCAGAAACTCACTAGCCCAAAATCGAGGATGTCGTCGTTTAAAACCCTCTTTGGTTGCCGTTGCTTGATCCACATAGATGTCCTTTTTGGTGGGTTTGCTTAACAAATAGAGGGCCCTGGTCTAGATGGGGTTGATTCCATTTACCAGGGCCATCTATTTTCCAAAAAGCCACCTATGTTGATCTATGTTCGCCAGGGTGCCAAAGGTTTATCTTTCGGTTCCTTGTGTTTTGGACAAGTGAGCAATCGGGTTCCCCCCCCTTTTCCCACGTCTTCCCATCGGAGACGGTTGAGTTTGCGTCCTGCAAGGCTAGATTCGCTGCTGTCTCGAACTAAGAGCCAGCTCCTGAGATGGTTGTTTCACGTCGAATCGATTGTTGCTTTTCAGCTGATATGAGGTGCACAATATTTGCTAAGATGATCCTATGATCATGGATGACTTCTGCGCCTGAAGCAAACGCTTTCCTTTGGTTTTCTTCGGTTTAACAACCATGGTTGTAAATTACAACCTGCTTACTAAGCTGGTTGAACATCCAAGTTGAAATACGACAGGAGGTGGGTTCGCCCTGTTTTGGTGATTAGTTCCTCCGTTTGGAACTTTGGAACCCGGAAACGTGCCCTTTTCGAGATTCGACTTTCTCTTGCGGCCCTGCCTTCTGAGACCTCAAGGCATCAACATGAAGCTGCGAGTCGACCTTTGTTTTTGCGGCACTGCGACGTTGGTCTATCTAGACTCATAGACAATGCCAAGTCGAGTCAACATGGAGCCGAAAACACGTGGAGTCCCTTCCCACAAAAGCGTTTCCAACAAAGAATGAGTTCCCTGAGTCTCCATGACCCTTAACAAATGGGGTCACTACCCAAGAGAGTGGGGTCATTTGACCCCATTTTTACAGGGTCAGAAGGAGACTCCAGGTTGACGAACTGTCCAATGTGGTCAGTCGTGACGCACAGATCACCTGTACCTTGTGATACTGTGGATGGACGAAATCCTGCACCACCTAGGCAACCATGACACACCATTGTTGGTTGGTGTTACAGGGGAATCATCATTCCCGGGTTTCTTTGGTGGTGCGAAATGGATTTCGTCCATTTATTTTGTATTACTAATGAAATCTCATTTACAATCATATCCTTGTCCTCTGATCATAAATTATTTTTGGAATCTTGGTTTTTTATTAGGAATTACTATTTTATTACAAATTATCTCTGGAATCTTCTTAGGTTTACATGTAACATCAGATATTAATTCAGCATATTTTAGTATTTTCTTGTTAATTAGAGAAATATATTATGGATGGTGTTTACGTTATCTTCATTCTAATGGTGCATCATTTGTCTTTCTTTTTATATTTCTACATCTTGGAAGAGCTATATCTTATGCTTCATATTTTTATAATCCTAATACTTGGTTTTCTGGAATTATTATTTACTTCTTCTTAATGGGAACAGCCACACTACCTTTGGGCTTGTGTGTCCCTTCTCGGGTGTGTGGTTCCGAGAAATGTCCGCGGCGCCGAGACATTTGCACGGGTGCAGACCGATGACAAATGTTCGCTCCACTAAGGAAGTGCACCTTATATGTTCGTATGGGTGTGTGTTATTTTTTTGATGGTACCCTTTTTGGGTGCGGTTTGAAGGGAAGCCAAGAGGAAACCACCATTTGGGGGTCCCTTTAAAAACCGACACACCCGCCTATGTTTCTGGTGACGCTCCAGGCCTTGAGAGCCATCGCATCTTCCAGATGATCAGCGCCCGGCTGCCTAGAGACCTCTTGGGCAAAGAAATGTGATTTGAGTAGACATGGATTTTGCATTTCATTCCTTCTCTGGGGCTTATATGGGTTCTATTTTTGATATCTGGCACATGTAGCACACTCCAAAATCATGAAATGCAATATCCACTTGCATTGCCTTACCCAGTGCTTCCAGGCGCAAGCGCCACTTTAGTCGGTAGCCCTTCGGTATGAATCGCTACCTCTAGGTTTTACATGGGGAAACCCCTGCTTTACCATAGTGGTGACTGGAAGAACTGAGATGGTCAATATCTACGTTCATTGCCTTATCGTTTAAACCATGTGAAACGTCATGATTTGACAATTCTCATATGTGCCATGGTTACAACTCCCTATGTGGGTCACGGTGAGGGTTTTCTTTGAAATAATTCCTTATGGCCGTCTATATTCCATATCAAAGGTATACGACCATCCATACCAATCCCAAGCAAACTGACCCTGACATATTTGGACCCTTTGGGTAAATATCATGAGAATCCGAGCACATATTTTTTGGAGTACCCCATATGACCAGGGGAAATGTAGGACATCTGATCAGTTTGCGGGCTGGCTTACCGCCAAAACGAAAAATATTTACTGTGCTTGGCATGTTTTAGTTGTTTTTTGTATTTAGTTCTGTTCATTTTTACTGGGGGGCTGCAAGAAAGAAAGTTTTTGCTACCATACCAAGAGTAGAGATGAACTCCCGGGTTAAGTCTATCTGGTAGTCAAAGAGTGGAAATCTGGGTGGGTTGTTTCTCCTCAAGGGGTTGTAACCCAACTTCAGCCGAAAGACCCACAGCACGCGAGCGAACTCACGAATTCTATGCTCTCACATGGAACAAACCGGATTCACCTTTTGGCTTTTCTATGGCCCATATTTAGTGGCCCCAAAAGTTCGGACATTTGGGGGAACATGTATTGTTTACCAGATATGCTGCATTGATTCAGCTGGGAGGCTGCAGGTGACTCCCACACTAGTTTTGCTTGTTGGTCGTTTTAGTTGTGCCGGGGGCGAGTTTCAACGTCCTCAAGGGGAACCTGCACAATTTTGACCGAGATGGGTGTTTCCCACAATAGGCAATCGACTCCATGTTTTTGGATGGTGTCCTTGTGCTTTCCCCTTTAGAAGCTATCCAAACATCCAAGAGAGCGCTCAAAACCCCGATCGGCCATGTTCGCAGGTGGTTCTACCTGGTTTCATGGGATACTGGCCATACAAGGCAGTGGGTGCAAAGCAGGGTCACCCCAAAATGGAAGCCCGGCAAATGTAAACATGGACTAGAACCTGCAGTTTTCGGGTGGCTTATCCTTGACCCCATGCCGAGAAAATAGAAAAACACAACTAGACCACGGTTGGCCCGAAAGCATCACAGCCCCGTGACCATTCTGCGCAAGTTGCTCTGGGCAAGGTGCTTTGCGCAAACTGGTCTGTGCAAGTTGCTCTGCGCAAGTTGCTCTGTGCAAGTTGCTCTGTGCAAGTTGCTCCGTGCAAGTTGCTCCGTGCAAGTTGCTCCCTGCAAGTTTCTCTGTGCACGCTGCTCTGTGCAAGTTGCTCTATGCAAGTTGCTCTGCGCAAGTTGCTCTGCGCAAGTTACTTTGCGCAAGCTGCTCTGTGCAAGAAGCTCTGCGCAACTGACTCTGTGCAAATGTCTCTGTACAAGTTGCTCTGTGCAAGTTGTTCTGTGCAAGTTGCTCTGCGCAAGTTGCTCTGCGCAAGTTGCTCTGCGCAAGTTGCTCTGTCAAAGTTGCTCTGCGCAAGTTGCTCCGTGCAAGCTTCTCTGTGCAAGTTGCTCTGTCCAAGTTGCTCTGCGCAAGTTGCTTTGTGCAAGTTGCTCTGTGCAAGAAGCTCTGTGCAACTGACTCTGTGCAAATGTCTCTGTACAAGTTGCTCTGTGCAAGTTGTTCTGTGCAAGTTGCTTTGTGCAAGTTGCTGCGCGCAAGTTGCTCTGCTCAAGTTGCTCTGGGCAAGGTGCTCTGCGCAAACTGGTCGGTGCAAGTTGGTCTGCGCAAGTTGCTCTGCGCAAGTTGCTCCGCGCAAGTTGCTCCGTGCAAGTTGGTCCCTGCAAGTGGCTCCCTGCAAGTTGCTCTGTGCAAGTTGCTCCGTGCAAGTTACTCCCTGCAAGTTGCTCTGTGCAAGCTGCTCTGCGCAAGTTGCTCTGTGCAAGTTGCTCTGCGTATCCCTGCAGAGGGTCGCGCGAGCACCGTAGAAATCGCAAAAAACAACTCGAGCTTTGGCACCTCGACCACGCCAATCCCCGCAGAGGGTCGCGCGAGCCCAAACAACATTGCAAAAAACCTTGAGTTTTTTTGCGACCACGCCGATCCCCGCAGAGGGTTGCGTGAGCCAAAACAAAATCGCAAAAAATCCTCGAGTTTTGGCACCTCGACCACGCCGATCCCCGCAGAGGGTCGCGCGAGCCAAAACAAAATCGCAAAAAAAACGTAGAGTTTTTGCACCTCGACCACGCCAATCCCCGCAGAGGGCCGATTTTCGTGTAGTGTCGTCGGCGCTACCCTGCCGCCCGAAGAGATTTTAACTCCTCGCAAGTCAATTGCACTTGACGTCATTGCAAGGAGTCATTGCAAGGAGTCCTTGCAAGGAGTCATGAGAGTCATTGCAAGTTGCAAGGAGCCAAGTGCAAGTTGCAAGTGCAAGGATCCTTGCAATGACTTTCATGATGATGATTCCTTGCAATGACTCCTTGCAATGACTCTCATGCGAACAACTCAAGTCAACCCAGCGGAAGAACCCTTCGCCGTGCTTTCGGGAACAAACAATAACCAAAAAAAACAAACAAAAAGAAAAGAAAGCGAAAAGCAGAACCCAAAGTCGGCTTGGATTTGTCTCGGACGCTGCCACGCAGGCCTGGGGTGCTGGATCCTTCACCGTGCTGGCGCTGACCCGCTTGCTGCGGAGGAGACCCCGGGTCTGGCCCCGCCCCGTTTGGGCCCCCGCCGGTTGCCCCGTTGGCGTTGGGGACATGAGGTGTACCTGAAGTCTCCTTCTGACCCTTAAAAATGAGGTCATTAGTTTCCATGACCCTTCAAAAAATGGTTGGGCATTATCCAAAATCATGGGGTCATTGACCCATTTTTAAAGGGTCATAAGGAGACTCCAGGTATATCCCTTATCTTGTTGATGCCAACCTAGGTGCCCCAGCTAGGTGCCCTTTTACCCTCTTTTGGTTGGGAGGATTTTGGTTGGCTCTATGAAAGATAGACCACAGAAACAAGTTCGTACCCTTATTATAATTGTTCTAACCCCTCTACTGGAGGACCCAGCATCCAGATCTTGGCTGCTTGATGTAATATGTACCTGGGATCTTAACTTTGGTGCATTTTGCTTGGATGTTAGGACTTTAACTTTTTGCCAACAAGTGGGTTTTCCATTAAACCACTAAAAGTTAAACTTTTTGCAGGGGAGCAGAAGGCAACCGAGGTTAATACCAAGCATGTCATTTGACACCAACTATCCTGGGTGCTTTGTGCCTACATCTAGGTGCCCTGTACGAGGGATAAGCTTTCTGCATGCGAAACGGCAACCGTGCGGGGGTTTGCTCAGAAGAAGACAAAACAACAACATGTTATGTGCTAAGGTTGTCTGAATGTGCAACTACACAACAGACGTTCCTTTTGGTATACACGTCCCAAGTTACGGGTGCAAAGTCAGCAACTGTAGTTTGTCAGATTGTGTACATGGACCAGCCAAAAGGAATGAGCTGCTTTGTTTAATGGTTTCCAGACACTCTACCTCAAACCCGAAAGTTTTGTAGGGGCTATATAGCGTGGGATAGAGGGTCTTTCGGTCAGCTTCAAGGGAGCCGAAATGTGCATTCTACCACGAATGAGAAGGACATGACATCTTACCAGAAACCAAGCAGCCCAACGAGCCAAGTTGGAGGTTTCTGGCACCAAGCTGCATAAGATTCGACGCCCGTTTGGGGCAGGCGAGTGGGTTGTGAGGCTCCTAAGGTATGGATATGTTTTTTGGGGAATATGACCGCAGCAGTTAAAGGAGGAGAAACGGTTTTCAGCGCCTCGTCCCGAAGCCTTGAGGTTTGATCAGGGTCTGGGGGCAACAGGGAGAAGGTTGGATCTCATGAAACATAAGCTAGGTCCCCCAGTAGTGCCCTTTGTGATACGGGTTCGCGATTTCTTGGCGGGCGCGTTTTTTGTGACAAAGAAGTCTTGGTGGGTGACGCTGCATGTCATTATGCTATATACATGGTCACCGTCTCCAACAATCCAAGAGGGTCTCCACAACTCTCCACCTGCTGCAACCCGACCACAATATGTCCGATACATTGATGCATACAGATATGTGTTATATACCCACCCCTTCCCCATCGAATGGATCCGCACAACCGTACATGACCCCCTTGGCCATTTTCGACCTTGGGGGCTCCGCGAACTCCGAGGCTGAACTGTTGATCCACCCATGTACGGGTTCATATATACGGCCGTACACATGCAGCCTTTCTGTTGATTTCCCCCCCCCCACCGACGACACGCGTCATGATGATGCAGTCGGCCACATACGTTCTTATCCCCCCCCGACCCCACCCCTCCCCAGCCCCCCGCCCCCACCCCTCCCACCCCCCCCACCCCCCGTTTCCCTTTCGCCCACCCCAAAGAATAACCTCTCTGGGTACGGAGCCGACGAGATGCGCGCGTGCAACCAGCGGGGCCTGAGGAGAGATGACACGCCCTCCAGCCGTGGCTTTCACCAGTTGGGCAACGAGGGCGAGTGAGGCGGGATGTCTGGATGAGAATTGGTGTACCTGGAGTCTCCCTCTGACCCTTTGAAAATGGATCAATGACCCAATTATTTTGGGTAATGGCCACATTTTGTTTAGGGTCATGGGGACTCCAGGTAGTAGTGATTGTGTACGGTCGATCGGTATGTTAAGAAAACCGCATGCTTTGACCAGGGGCTGCAATATTTTTTAAACGTTTCATGGGAGATAAGAAATGGTGGTGTCAATCTGATTGAGGTTTCCTGTGTTCTGGCTCGGGGTATTTTGGGTGGGGCGGTCCCCTTTCTTGTGGCCGGCGGGTATTTGGCCTGACAGCCGTGGCCCTTCCAGTTGTCACTTGGTCGGTTTCCAGTTGCATTTGTACCTCTAGGTGTTACGTGAGGATTTCACCCCTGTGTATCTACTATAGTGGCTTGCCTCGAAAATAATGGGCGATGTTTAGCTCCCAAAACACCTCCCTGGAGTCTCCATGACCCTTAAAAGATGGGGTCAGTACCCAAAATAATGGGGTCATTGACCCCTTTTTCAGGGTCAGAAGGAGACTCCAGGTAGGACAGCTCCAGAGGGTCCAAGTACCTCCTGAGGATGGCTTTGGGGGGTGAAAAGGGGTCTCTCCCTGCCGATTTCTCTCCCTTCGCGACAGGTGCGCGACAGGTGCGCGCTGTGTCCGTAGCGCTGTGTCCGAGCAAGTGACTCTCACCGCCGCCTCCGCGTGGGAAGCGCTGAAGCTTTGTAACACGGCTTGTAAAAAACATTTGAGCCGTATTGATTCATTCATTTGTTGATCGATGTGTTTGTAAAACTATATGTTGTTTTTTATTATGGATTTATGCATATTTTTCTAAGAGTGGAAGAAGTCAGCCCCTATGTATTCTTTCAATTGCGCTTGAGCATGTTAAAATGGCAGGAGGCACCACCTCCTGCATATGAATCACGCCCGCAAAGAGAAATCACAGATGCTGGAGGTTTCGCCCTTCATGTTTCAGTGCCATGAAGGTCGTCCCTTTTCTATAGCATGGTGATACCGTAGTTTTCCTGAGTCCGCACCCAAATGGCTCGGAACTCGGCTCCGAGTTTTTGTTGAGTCCGCACCCAAATGGCACTCGGCACTGCGGCACAACGAGTTTTTTGTTGTTGTTGCCAGAAGGACTCGCAAAAGGGCTCCGCGCCCATGTTGCCAACTGCGTGAAATCCGCGGGGCCCCAGATGCGACGGCTTTGTTGCCTTCTGTGATTCCCTTTGGATCCTGAGTGCGAATATTGGTAGAGGAAGGTTGATTTGTTGTTTTTGTTCTGCTGGGTTGCAATTAGCGACATTCTGAAGCCATTTTCGGCTTTCAATGACCCTAGCTGACACTTTCGAGATGTCAAGAGACAGTTGGCGAAGTAGTGAGAATGCTGCCGGGTCAGCAAGCAAACCAGAAGCTACATGGGTGTGCCTTTCGTGATGGACCACTTGTTTTGTTATTTTTCAGCGAAACCCAAGATCAACTACCCACTTTGGGGGGTTTACCTTAGAGACACACCCTGCCTGCATGCAGTCCCGGTACTCTCGGCACTTGAAGTGCCGAACGGAAGTCCGTGTCAACGATTGGCCGGCAGCAAAGATTCTGCCTGCCATTTGTGAAGCCCCGAATTTCAGGGCATTCTC